TAATTTAAATTAGAAGTATTATAGATATCTTGAAAATTATACAATTTTCCAAAATGAAATAAGTTTATTATTTACCTATTACTATATTTTAATACTATCACTTCACTTTTATTGTCATTTTTGCAAAGAATGCTTAAATATTCCAAATATGCTAAAATTTTCATTCTCAGCTTTTAAAAATGATAATAAAAAAATCATATTTGCAAAAGCCCATCCAAAAGATGATGAAGAAGAAAAAATTTTTATGAAAAAAAATACTTTGTTTCATGAACAAGAAACTAGCATAGCTGAATATAAAATTTGGTAAGATGTATTATTTACAAATGTCAACAACAAGTAAAACAAGAACTTCTCCAAAAGAACAATGAGTAACTTTCATTATGATACAAAGTCTAAAAAGAGGCATGGGAAATGCAGGCTACAGTTCTTTATCAACAAGATAATTGAAACTCAAAAAAATGGTTTTCTGAAATGAGAGTTTATTTTTTTTTTACAAAATATTACATGAACTTCATTAAGCCTAATTAAGTATTATACAAATTTTATAATTTAAACAAAAGCAAATATGTTAATTGTTTTGCAATGATTAGTAAAAATTGATTGCATAATTTCAATTGTGATTTCTCAAAATTATGTGATCATCATATGATTCATATCACTGTGATTGGTCAGGAAGATTTATCTTAATACCTAGTATATGTTTCGAATAGTGATATCTTAAAGATGTTAATATATATATCTTTCATGAACCTTCAAAAACAACTTAAAGAAAGGAAAACTGAAAACAATTTAAATAAGTATACCCAAATTATAGGATCAGTAAATGCTGGTATTTTCTGGAATTTTTAATATTTAAAATGATCAGCAATCTTTCAATATTCTAAATTTTCATATTTTTCTTTTATTCTCTTTTCTTTTTCTAAAAATTTTCTTTTTCAATATGGGCGAGCTTAACAACAACAACTGCAAAAATACTAAAAAGCATGAAATTATATGCATTAATCTTTTACTTGACTAATAGTTGATATTAGTCTTATTAAATACCCAGTAAATAGTTTTTGTATAAATTTGTACCAAATGGGCTCATCCATATATAATTGGCTCTAGATTGGCTTAAATTTTGATTAATTTTTGCATAAATTTGAGCTAATTTTGAGCCAATGAGCCCGTTTGGTATAAATTTATACAAAAAATATTTACTGGGATAATAATTGAACAGAATTTTGGTATCAAATCTATTTCTTACATAGAATATTACTTCTTGCTTTTTTATAAATTACCTAAGTTACAAATATCTCGTGACTTTTAATTTGAGAATAAATCCTTAAAAAGACAGGTTGAACAGTTGGAGAGAAGTAATGGAGAATTGGAGAAGGAGAAAATGGAGTGGAGTGGTTTCATGTACAATATATGAATATAGTTGAAATTATTTATTTATATTAAAGTTTATATTAATTTGTGATAACATCAATGACAACCTTTTTAATAATCAGAAATACTAAATTCAAATATTATTACATACTATGTTAATCATTTTATCATTAATTTTACTAATTTAATAATTAAAAACAAACTATTATATATTAAACTAAAATTTAAACTATGGCAACAATATAATTTTTTCAAAAAATAATAAAAAATTAAACAAAAGATAAACTATAAAATAAAATCTATAAATTTGAAAAAAATTAAATATTTAATCTTATCTATACATAAATAAAATAATATTATTAGTTACCTTAAAATTATAAATTAAATATTGTATTAATAAATTATGTTTGTAACACCTCGCTTCTAATTGTATTTAGTTGACAATTATTTAAATATGAATATACCTTTATTACTATCTTCATATGAAAAGAGTTCTAATAGAAAATTTTATTTAATAATTTATTACCAAAATCTGCAAATTCATCAAATATTATTTCATACAAGAATTATGAAGTTGAGATGTTTGGTTTCTCTTTATCAGCTTCTTCAAATGCTACTCAAATTTCTTATTATTATTCATACATTTATATATATAATTTTCTGAATTTGGATTAAGTTCATTGCATATGAATAATACCAAACCTAAATTATTCCTTTTATTGTAAAAAGGTGGGTTTCCAGATGATAATTCAACCATAACTATACTAAGCTATGAAATTAATATCGGGCGATGATGTTTATGGCTCAATGTTTAAGACAATATATGGTAATACTCCATATACATTATAATCTAAATTGTTCGTTTGCTGGTCCTGATAATCTAAAGTCTAAAATATGAAATTGATTATTACAGTCTCATAGGATATTTCTTTATAAAGATCTTTATGAAAATATCCTAATTTATGTTGAATCTAATCCAATTTTATCTTTTCATAAAATAAGATTGTTTGAAGAAGATTTCCCTAATTAGCAGATTCTAATTTTTCATTTCCTGGGTCTTTTGTTGGTACATAAGATTCTAATCCACAATACTTTACTATATTTAAATTAAATTATTACTATAGGATAAGTTAAATTTATATACTATAAGAATGTATTACATTTAAATATTCTGATATATTATGTGATCCATTTAGCCATTTCAAAGCAACTTTCTTAGATATATATACTATACCTTTTTGATAAATTTCGTTATGATATTTATGATATTCTGATTTACCGTCAAATCCATGTTGCATAATACACTTCGACAAATTTTCCTTTACCAATTTTTTTTATACCAAATCTACCAAATGATACTCATATATTCATTGTTATTATATCATTCTAACTTACACAGTGTATATTTTATAAATTTATCAATATCAATATTTTCACTAGCCCATTCTTAAATCGTATAATACGAACAGTTTTTGGTAACAAAATCTCCGTTTGTGATATTTTGTAATTATCATTGGGTTATTTTCAAAATTTTATTGCACTTTCCGAAATAAAAGAAAAAAAATTATTCTTTGTACATTTAACCAAAGATAGAAATTATTCAGATCATTCATTAGTTTGGGCCATAATTTTTTCGGTTCATAACATGCTTTCTACATTATACAAATTTTGTACCTGTATTACAATTTCTTTATAATTTAACTAGGTTACATCAATAACACAATACTTACAATAATTATTATATATATGGTACGTCAATAGTCAAGTAAGTTTGAATGCTCCGGTCATAATTTAAATTCTCAATGTCCTTTTATTACTGGAAAAGACAAGAAACTATAGTATATGTATCTTTTATTTAAAAAAATCTTTCACATATTTTGATGATAAAATAATAACAGATAAATCATTTATAATTCCGCAGCAAAGAATTTTTGCGAAATAATGGAAAAAAAAATCTTTACTTATATATATAACATGTTAAAATAATGACAATTTTTGAAACTTAACATAATAAATAACATATACTCACACTTTACACGCTCTAAAACTTTTTACATTTATCAATATATAAAACATGGCACATTTTAATTTTCTTCATGAGTGTATCAACTAATAAATACTTTTCTTTGATGATTTAATAAAAACGATAAGAATAATTTTTTTTTTGATTTAAATTGCAGTAATTTATATTGGGCATTGCTAAATCTCACCGCAGATGATTTTCACCGCACCAGCATTAGCAAATATTAATGGGCGGAGTTTCATGACATTTTTAATTCTGTCCAAAATTCTACCCTAATTCTGGTAAGGTGACAATCACCAGCGGTGATATTTCGCAATACTCATTTATATTTTGTTGAAAATTTTCATTTTCTTGATTATTAATATGTTTTTCAATGGTCGTACAGGAATATATTGCCTATGATATTACTGTATTACTAAAACATATAAAGTTAAATTAAGTTAAATTGTAGAACAAAAATTATCAATAATTATATTTGAATATAAAAATTGTGTATTTAAAAGTATTTTTTAACTTATCATTGAAATTCCTAAAAAATAAAATATCAATTCAAAGTTATTTATATATACGGTAATTATTAATATGCGTAATTGCGTATTATAAATTTTCTATTAATTTTGCTGCATAGATACTGAAAAAAAAAGAAAATTTTATAAAATTTACCATGTTATCGGTTAGTGCAAAATAATAATGACGCACTTGCCTTTTATGAATAATGCCGGTCAAAATTTTATTACCTTTTTTAGATACTGACTGACATTATCTTAATTCTGGCCCTGGAGGAATTCGTTCAACGAACTACGACCCGACCTCTATACATATATTTCGATTCATCAACATTTAATTTAACTTCATTCTTTCATTTCTTAAACATTAAATTATTTTTTCAAAATTAAATAATTGCAATGATGTTACAAAAATATTTCGAGCTTATACGAATATTTATTCCTGTTCTCCATTAGACCATTACTTTATATTTAATTTTAACTTCCAATAAAAGAATAGGCAAATTATTATATATTAGTAATAATTATTTCTGGTTTTCATGGTTTTCATGGTGCAGCCGTGAAAATTTTTTTAAGATTAGTATGATAACGCATTTTTTTTTTATTAATTAAATCAAAGATTAAATCAAAGATTTAACCAAATATACAAAATACCTAAAATACTTAGAACCTAATATATAAAATATACAAAAAGGCTCTATAACTGACCGCAATCTAGTCTAAAATCTAAATGATCTAACTAATAACTAATTAATCATAGGTTTTTCTTAATTGTTATAAACATTGCTAATACTATTACTAAAACTAAAAATTTCACTAATTTTTTTGATTTTTTTAATATTTTCCTATGTTTTTCTAATTTCCTATTTTTCACAGGGCTACTAATTTGCATATAACGTATCCCTTATTTCTAAAAAAATTATCCTAAATTTTGTGAATGTCCAAAAAAAAAAAAAACAAAAAGAAAAAGAAAAACAAAATAAAATTAATACATTATAAAATAAAACTTATTCTATCTACCCTTTGCATTGATGGAAACGTATCCGAATATGGACGAAAATTCTCCACTCACACCATGTGATTCTTCAACCCAAGCCTTATTATCTAATTTTGTTTAATTGGGGCGGGAAAAATTGTTTATTTGCTGTCATAATCAGCTCTGTGCCCTGGCTTGCCATTGCGAGTTTCTTGTTTTCATTCATATTGTCCTCCTCTGGCTCCACAATTTTATCTTTCCCTTTTCTTGAACTTGTCTCTGTTGTCGTTGTCTCTTTCTCTATTTTATCTAGTCGCTCACTAAATTAATTATTAATATTGTTAAAAATCTTCGTGTTCTTCTTTACTTCTAGGTATCTAGATATCCAACCTTTTTCAGAGTATCGAATATTTCATTATCCTTCCAATAAGCAGGAAAATCGTAAAACTGAGACCACGTGATTGTTCGGCAAAATGTTTATCCAAATAATCATTGTTTTGAACCTGAATTTTGTCAATCCTTCCATTTTTTGACGCTTGTGTCTCCGGTTTACTTGATTTGGATCTAATTTTTTCTTCTAATTAACTCACTATTTTCTTACAAAATAATTTGTTCCCGCTCTGTTACATCAATTTCCAATTTTTTAGTTTTTTCCTTAAGTGTGACTATCTCTTCCTCTTTCGATTCTATTGCTCGTATTTTCTCTGCCAATTCGTCTTCCAGCTTCTTTCTTTCCATTTATTCGACTCATTTTCGTCGTTGTGAGCTTGAGAAGAAATGATTGGTTAATTGTGACTTTCCCAGCGTAACCTGAAAAAAATGTCACGAAAAATCACGTGACTTTTTTACGGAAGTCGTTAATTGTTAACTGCGCCTCAGAGACGTTCTCACACATGTCTTTTATTATCTTCTTTAAAATTTCAATTCCTAACTTTATTGTGAATAAAACTGAAAAACAAACTGAATTCTCCTATTCCAGCAAAGAGTCCCTTTGCATATCTACCCGGTTTCGAAACTACTTAATCTAAAATCATCGTCGTCATCAATATCGTATAGGTCGAACAAATATTTATTTTCCAAGTCCGTAAAGCCCTTATAAAAAAGTTCTATATACTTTGTTAAACTCTCTCTATTTGATAAAACTTTGACGTCAGTCATTTTTGTAAGCTTTATATATAAAAATTGCTTTTTAATTTTTTCGTAAAATTTTGGTGTCAGAGAAAGTTTTTTTTCATATATTTCAGCCGTGAAAATCATGATATTCCACATTTCCTTGAAATAATATTTATTAAATTCTTTGCAATATAAGTCTATTTATGTACACTTGCATTAAATAAAAAAGAGTCGGAAATCAAATATTGAGGATATTAAGGCGGTTTAAAAGGATAATGAGATTTTGCATTATCAAATTTAGTAAAAAGTAATATAAATTTAACATAAAAAAAAATCACATCATCAATTAAATGTTAACAATAAGTTATTTATTTAGATAAATTATAATATATATGTAATAATTGTGAAATAAATTATTTATAGTTTTCAAAATAAATAAATTAATAAATTAAATTAAACTTTTATGATTATTAAATAATATTTTAAAAAAATTTCTTTTTTTTCTCATTTTCAATCTTTTTTATTAACTTCATTTTTTCTTTATCATCTTTGATCGCTTGTCTTATCTTTCCTTTTTTTACTTTTTTTATATGTACGTAAAGTACATGCTGATCACGACCAGCTGAACTATTATATTTCATGTAGCAATTTTCGTTAGTACAGAAATACTTGGGCATGTCGCCTAACTTTCCACTATCAATACTTTCCATTTTATTTATTTTAATAATTTCATTATATTTCAAATAATCGTCAATATTTTTTTTGAAACCATATTTCTTAGCTTCTTTAATTGTAATAATAGCACTTGAGGATGCCTTCATCCATTTAAATTCAACATAAGTTTCTCTATCAATCAAAACCTCAAATATACGGATAATGTATCTAAAGTCTATTTTAGTCGGTCTTTTTTCTCGTCTCATTTTAAAAATATATTCAATAATCTGTAAAATAAAACAAATTTGTTATTTATAATGAAAAAGCAAAATGATTAAACATCTTAAAGATTTATACATGGAACCGAAATTAAAATGGTCAAATTGTCAAAATAGCCCAAAATTACATCATATCACATGATTTGTAATAATTCGCAATCCATATAAGAATCGGGGACAAATTTACTACTATTTTTAATGGAATCCAAAGTGCACAGGAAATTCACGAAATGAAATTTTATCTTTTATAATTAACTATTTTCTAACTATTTTCAAGAAAAAATTATTTTAAACTTAATTCAAAAAGGAATATAAGCATTTATATTTATCAACTATAATTGCTAATTCTAATATAACATTTTATAAATAATGTTTAATTAGAAGGAATGTTGGATTCAAAAATTATGAAAATCACCATATTATATAGTACAATATATCCTTAACCGATTCTTATGCAGATCGCTAGTTAAATCATATAAACATTTCTTAAATTCGAATTCAGCAAATTATATTATTTAGTTAATTATATGAAATCATGTGACATGATGTAATTTTAACCATTACGACTTGACCTTTCAATCATTGCCTATAAAACTTACATAATTAGTACAAATCAAAAGTATAACAGTAAAACCAATATTTTACAAAATTTCTAATTTTATTACAATTTTTCAATTATTAATTTTTTTCAATTTTTTCTTTTTTTCTTTTTTTTTTTTCTTTTTTGAGCTTTTTGAGCAAGTTCAAGGTGCTTATTTATATTTAATTTTGAAATTGTATCGACAGTAGATCAGTCATGTAAATCAGAATGAACAAAGAAAAAAGTCGAAAAAGAAAGAACGTGGTAACAAAGAAATTAAGCTACACAAGCCGGCCGATCAGGATACAGTTTTACAAAATTCAAGGGTACCAGGTACATCATCACGTGACATAATGTTTTACGATATACCAGAACGGTATAGTGAAAGTGAAGTGGTTTCAGCCATAAAACAGCTAGGAAATATAAATAGAATTAGAGTTAAAAAACATTACAAATACCAATCGGTAAGGGCTGAAATCATTTTACTGGATGATTATGAGGAACAATTTGCGAGGGGGACATAGAAAGTACAACTTTAATTGGGAAAGAGCGAAAAAAATAGGAAAGTGATATAGCTCGTTGGTTCCTAAGACAATACACAATCAAAACTATAAAAGAAAAATGTAAATGGATGGCATACAAAGTGATTCATACGAGTTATTATCAAGACGTGGCTAGAAAAAATTATGCTTTCGAGTATGAAAAAATGGCACGTTTTGGAAAAAATGAGTATTCCTTGCATATTTTAAAGATAAAGTTCAATTGGATGCGGCTATCGCTTTGGATGAGGACGTAGATTGTTCACGGTAAGGGCTTAGACAGCTCAACGAAAAATATCTCGAAGAGGGAGTCAAGTTGTGTTCTTGTTAGTTCTAAACCTACGAATGGCAACGAGGAGAAATCTACCAATCAGAAGGAACATACGGTTGCTACATCAGCATTTATAGAAAGTGTAAGTATAAACGAGGTTGTTGACACGGTAAACAAATTTAGGGAAAATTTGTTGGATGAACATCTATTACAAAGCGTGTCAACTTCACTAATAATCACACCTCGCCAGAAAAAGTTGTGGAAATTGTTTTGGATTTAAGAGATGAAAACAACAAGGAGGAGAATGTGCAGAGAATAGACCCCAAAAAGAAAAGGATACAGAGAATAATGGTTAGAAAAATGTAGAAATGGATACACAGCGCTAGTTGCAGACTTGAGGAAAAGAAAGCAGCACAAGCAGCACAAGTAGAGATAAAAAGTATAAAAACAGTGACTCCAATTGAGATGTACGAATATAATACGGTAGAAAAATTCGATCGGAAATATAAAAGGACCGGAGAAGTTCCTAACCCTTTCGCAGTCTCATCTTCTGATGAAGAAGATATAAAAGAAGGCAAAAAGCGGGTTATGGGTAAGCAAGGTGATAGGAGTAAAGCAGAAGAGGAAGAGAGTGACGAAGGAAATTGGTGGACAGTAAGTATCAACAAAAAAAGGGGAGGTAAACCTTTATGGAAGAGGTAGAGGAGGTAGACGCAGACACATTAATAAGTAGTTTCATTGTAGTTGGGTAGTAGTTAAAGATGGGGACCGAGCGATAGGCTGAAACGCTCGGTATGGAGAGATTGTTGGTGCTTAATGCCATCAATTTCAATGTATTTCTTTCGTTCAATTTGTATTTTGCTTTTTTATTGCACTTTACTTAAGGGGAGTGTGTAGTCACGTGATTTTTAATATAAGATTGATCGGCGTCAAAAATTTTTCTGCGGTTTTAGATTTTCGCGTCAAAGTCAACGTGATAATCAAATAAACAATATAAAAATAAAAACCACTTTTTCTCATTTTTTAGAACCTAAAGTTTCGTCAGGTACAGTTTTTATATAGACTTACATATTATATTTTAGAAGAAAATATCAAAAGAAGTTCAAAAAAAGTTCAGAATCGCTATATAAAAGTTCAGAATCCTATTTGCCGGGATTTTTTAGTTACCCAAATTTTATTTCAAAAATGATATTATGCTTTTATTTATTATTTACACTTTCCAAATTTTAACTTTATTGTTATTCTACTATTTAGACATGCCTTTACGGAAATGGTATCAAATTTTATGCCAAAGGAATCCGCATTTCGAAAGTTACCAGCGACCATATAATAATAGTTGGCTTGTATTTGACAAATCCGTACCTTTGGAAGCTTTGGATATACACAACGAACTTGTTACTTCTAGTTCTTCAACAACTACTCCATACCTTGCTTTAACAGTACATAATTATCCAAAAGATAACTCTACAAGTACTTGGGTTCCTTTATTAGTTGGTTATACAGTAATAATTCTTTGGAAAAAAAAACTCTTACGACTTGCAATTACTAAAGACAGCAACAATAATTTAATTTATATGTATGAAGATTATGAAGATGATATTTCTCTTACTGATTGTGTACACAGATCCTCCCATCGTAATTTTTTTCATGGATTGATTCATTATCTCAATATAGATGGTCGCGTTTCAATTCCTGCTTTAATAGGACTCAATATTTTGGAAATTGTGATTCAACTCAGGAATGTAATTAATATGACGTTTCCAAATTTATTCACTCAAGTTAAACAGGCTCATAATGCGATTGTAACTACAAATAGAATAAAAAATAAAATGAAACGAAAAGCAAGTAGTTTATGTGAAAATTTAGAAAATAATATATCTACTTCAACAACTTCTAATACAGTAAAAATCAATTCGGGTATTTTAATCAGTTCTAATGGTCTTCCCATGACTCCTAAATCGACCCAAGCACTTGTATGTGAATATGCTTCAGAACTTAACGAAAAAAGAAATCTGAAAAAAAAATTAAAGCGTACAGAAAATAAATTAGTTGAACATGAACAGGCAATGAATCCTTTTATTGTTAACCTACAAGAAAATAAAGAAAATATCGAGAGTAAGGTTTCAAATTTAATACAAGAATCAAATATAGGTACCACTATGCTCATTAATACAGACCAATTCCTCCGACTAGTATTGTCTCAACCATGTTCGCAATGCTTTACAATGCTTGATTCTAAACGTCAATATAGTGTTTGTTCTATAGGATTCACTTTCAAAGTTTCAATTACATGTGATTGTGGGAAATATACAGAATATTCCAATGAAACTTCTTCAAACTTTTCTTTAGCAGTGGCAAGTAGTGGATTAGTAGGAGGAATCAATCGTCAATCACTTGAAATGATATTAGCAACACTTGGAATAACCCAGCAACTTACCAAAAAATCTCACCATGAAAATCAAAAAAAAATCTTCCATCCGATTTGTAAAAAGGCAGAAGAAAGTGCAAACAAAGCTCTTCGATTGACATGTGAATATATAAAGCAAATAAATGAAAAAATTCTGCCAGTAAGTTTTGATGTGTCATGGTCACATGTAAGAAATGCAAATCAGGCCAGCAGAGAATTTATCTTTTCAAAAAAATTAGATGGATATCCTCACAGACCCATTCTTGGATTTTATTTTGTTAAAAAATCGCGTAAATGCAAGAAAAATGGTGAGAGTGTTATTGTACATAAGGGCAATCATGACAAAAGCTCCAGACAAATGGAACACGCAATATTAATTGCTATTCTTCAAAAAGTTACACCAATTTTGGAAGAATTTGATCTGCTACTTGATATCGGAATAGATGGAGATTTGGAAAGTAATAAAACACTCGGCACAGTAGCAATAGTTAACCAAATATTTGCTGACTTAAAACATGTTGCAAAATTAATACGTAGCAAAATTGGTCAGTATGTTTAAAAATATAAATTCAATAAATGGAATTTAATTATTAACTAAATTCACCTTATTTTTATTATAGTAAAGAATGTACAGTGGCGTTCTTTTGAGCAAGTGATAATGCAGTATTTTAATGGATGCATTTATGCTGCTGGTGCAAGAAAAGCTGATAAAGAAATAGATACTCCTAGCGAAGATGAATTGAAGTATGTTCAAGTAGAGGGATTAGTTAGACATCTTTGTGGCAATCATTCTTTATGCTGGCCAGAGGTTTGCTGGATCAAAGAAAATCCTGATATTGAATTGAAAGAACCTAATCTAATTACATATACTGAAAATCAACGATATGCATTCCGCCAATTTTTACTTACAATCTTTCAATTACCAAAAGGCCAAGGTTTAGTAACAGAAATTCGCACTTCATCTAATGAATCATTCAATAGAACTAAATTAGTTTATCTTTCTAAATTAATTGATTATTGGAAGTCATTTGCAGCTCGCTATTCTCTGGCTGTAATCCAAAACAATGAGGGAATTGCAAATCTTTTGGAATTTATTTACACCGTAGGAGTGGGGAGTTATTCTGAGAATGATATAATAAATATTAGGAAGATACAAGAAGAAAGACAGGCAAATAGAGAACGTAATAATGAAAAGTTAGCACAAAAGACAAAAGAAAAAGGTGAAAAAATATTAAATCAACGAAATGAATTAGAATCTTTTGACTTTAGTCAAGAATTAGTACCTTATGGTCGCCAGTTTCAAAAAAGAATACAACAATATGAAGAATTTACACCCTCATTTGCTTGTTATATCAAAAACTTTTCCACTACAGTCAAATGTATATGTTGCCGCTCTTTTCCCAAATACACATCTAGTGGCTTATGTAAATTATGTAATTATTATATTCAAATGGGATACCATGATAGAATTATTAATGAATCATATCAACCAACTTCAAAATTACCTGTTCAAATAATTCCTCCAGATCAATTTATTCTTCAACATATATTTCAATTTTCTTCATTCCGCTTATATCAACGAGAAGTTATTCAATCATATACCCAAGGTCAGGATGTTTTTGCATTAATTCAAACAGGAGGTGGCAAAACCTTTTGTTACGCAGCATCCAGTTTGATTTTTTCTGGATTGACAGTAGTGATTTCACCTTTGAAAGCATTAATTTTAGATCAAGTGGTAATTGTGTAAGATTTAGTGATTATATTTTAAAAATATTAACTTGCCTTTATCTTTACTTCAGAACGAATTAATCAAAGTTGGAATACCATGTGCAGGGCTTTACGCAACAACAGGACAATCATTGGAATACCAAGAGAAAGTTTTTCAAGAAATCGAGAGTAAAATGCTCAAAATATTATTGATAACACCAGAAAAACTAATGCTCAATCAAGGTTTTCGTAATATGTTAAGAAAAGTTCATGGAGAAATAGGCGTTAGATTTGTAATAGATGAAGCCCATTGTATACTGGAATATAACCATTACAGGTAAGAATTACAATTTCTTTTATATATATATATATATATATATTAATCTAAACTTCTTACATTATTTTATTAGGCCTGAATGGAGGAAGCTAGGCTGCTTAAAAGAGTTTTTTCCATCCACTTCCATTTTACTTCTTACTGCCACTTGTTCCCAAGATGATGCAGAAGTAATTCGTCAAAACCTCAATATTAATTCTGTAAACTTTAATGTGATTCGCAGTTCATGCTTTTCCCGTCCTGAAATTGAATATATAGTGAAAAAAAAGAGTACCAGTGAAAGAAATTTAGTGGAAATAGCTAAAATTGTTAATGAAATTAGTGATGGTCAATGCATAATTTATTGTTCTTCTCCAGGTATATGCAATGAAATATTACCTTTATTGCAAGACAAACTAAAAGGCACAGCAATTGGCACTTATCACGGAGGTCTTGAAAGTTTTGAAAGAGATCAAGTTATGCTTCAATGGAAATCTCGACTACTAAAAGTCATGATAGCAACAAATGCTTTTGGGTTGGGCGTAAATTCACCTAATATTCGCACTGTTGTACATTATACATTTCCGTCTAGTATAAGTTAGGATTTACTGTATATTATTTGTTAAAATATCAGTTATAAGAAAATTTACCTTTTTCTTTTTATTACATAGGTAATTTTATACAAGAATCCGGACGTGCAGGTCGTGATGGAAATCCAGCACAAAGCATTTTGTTTTATTCCCGAAATGATATTAAAACTGTATATACCATAATTACAGGAGGCCGTGAAAGGTACTGTGAATTTCTTTCATTACAAATAAAAAACTTATTTAATAAATAGTTTTCTTTATAGTGATTTCGATAATAATGAATCTACATCTCTTGAACGCACACAATATCTAAACAAGGGGCAAAGGAAGATATTTGAAATGGTTACTTATTGTGAGAGTATTTATGAATGTCGTGCCCAACAACTTGCAGCTTACCATTCATGGCAATCCGATTCCAAAATTCCGCGGTGTACAAAATGTGATTGTTGCATAAACTATTTTAAAGATCTTCCAAAATCTGAAAATATTAAAAATGATGTAATTCATTTACTGAAAGTTATTATCGCTGTGACAGAATTTTTGGGAATGAGAAATCAACTTACTTTACCTATCGATATTATTCATGTTTTTGCTAAAGCAAATAACAATAATATCAAAGAAAAGCAACTCAGTTCTTTACCGATTTACAAACAAGATTACAACAAAACTCTTCGGCGATTTGAAGATATTTCTCGTTTACTTGACAATTTAATTATAAAAAATTTGGTAAAAGTTCGTATTGATTTAAAAAAAGTAAATACAAGTACAAGTTCTACACAATTGTCCGGTAAAGTAATAATAGAAGGAATTACCGAAAATGCCATAGAAATAGCACAAAATCGGTGTTGGAGTTTTTTATTGAAATGAGAGTTACAAAAAATTTATATTGTATTACAAAAAAAAAAATAAAATATTTTTTATAATTTTGGTAGGATTCTGTGATCCTATTCTGGCTGGATTTATGAGACGCCCTTAAAAATTTCCGATTCGGATTCCTAAATTTTGTGCCATGTTGATCATAATAAAAATCACGTGACTACACGCTCCCCTTAATAAAGAAATGCGTTTACGCGAGTTGTAAAAAAAATAAAACATTAATAATCATAATGTGATAATCAAATGTAAAATAAGACAATATCAGACAATAATGTATAAATGAATATAAATTTAAAGTTTTTCAAAGGATGCCATCAAACAAAAGATATAATTGAATTTTTAGGTGAAAATAATGCAATAAAAGTTTCATGTAAAGATTGTAGAAAAAGAATTAGAGTTTCTAAACAACAAAAATGAGAACATATCACAGCTGAAGCTCATAAAAAAACTCTTACAACTTATAAAGAAAATGCCATATTACTTGAGAAGCTTCCTAAGTACACAGTGAAATTCGATAAACCGGATATTCGATAAACCGGATTTGGGCCTAAACCGGACTTTTTTGCTGGAACCAAATCACGTATATTAAAATAGGCTCGATATACCGGAGTTTACTAGTAAAAGCTCGATATTCGCTATAACGGATCAATTTTCTAACCAGCTATAGTAAAAATGATTCGATAAACCGGATCACGTGACTGGAAACCAATAAAATTTAAGTAACGTGATGCGGTAAATCTTAAATTTGGCCGGAATTATAAAAATCTTAATTCCGGCTGAAGTTAAGTATTACTTATATATTCAATTAAAATATTTTATATTCATTTTCATGACCTCTATAACTTAAAACTAGATGAAAAAAATCAAATTATAGTGTACTATATTAGGACCCCGAAATATACATAAAAGGGTCAGGTCAGAGTTTGCGTATAATGAGTCAAAAAAATCATGTAGATCATTCCTTTTATGGATAATCCCAGCCAAAATAATATTTCCTAATTTAGATAATGGCTGAAATTATCGTAATTCTGGCCCTGAAAGAATGCGTATTTTGGACCACTTCTGGACCTGACCTCTACATATATATTTCGGGGTCCTACTATATTAGTTTTATTAGCATGAAAATTTTTTAAAAATTCAATATAATAGATTTTCAATATATCGAAATTTTTTCGCTAAACCGGATATCCCGATAAACCGGATATTTTTAGTGGAACCGATAGATCCGGTTTATCGAATTTCACTGTGTATCTTCTATTTTTTTCTTATTTTTCATCATTTTATTAATTTTTATTATTATTATTATATTAAATATTATTAGAGATAACTGATCTATTGGCCATTTTTCATCATATTAACTTTATTTAATGTATAGGTTCAAAAAAAGAGACTTATCCCTTACTTCCAAAGTCTGGCATTACAATACTTGGAAATTGGAATCTTGGATAAAAATTAAATTCAAATGACACTCCTACTAATCTAAATAATTCATTACCAACATATTATAATTTGAAGATAGAGTTGACGATTGACGAAGATAGAAATATTGAAGATAGAAACATTGATAATGATTGTGAAGAGTGTTGCAAAACTATTAAAATTAAGTTTAAGATATCTGATATTATTGAGATTTATTTTCGACTGGTTAACTAAAAACTAATAAAATAAATAATTGTTTCTGATTTAGACTCATTATTATTTAGACAATTCTGCTAATTTGTCTCAAAGAAAAAATGGTTAGAAAATATTGTGGCTAATCATGGGAAAATAAGACTAACATTTTTATTGAGAATAATAAAAAACGTGTACAATTCGATTTAAAAGTTTTTAATAAAATTCAATTAATTTTTTAAATATATTTTAGTAGTTAAAATATTAAAAAAATTATATTTATAAATTATTACGAATTTACGATTTTAATTCCAGTACAATCATATAATTTTAGCCGGAAAAAAAAGTCACGTGCATTTATTTGTCTGAGACGGCTATTAGTTATTGGATTTTCAAAGTACCTATTCATTGATCGAAAATAATTTTTTTTAAAACTTATTATATGAAAATCAAAAAAAAAGAATGTATAATATAATTAGAATTTTTTTTTTATTAAAATAAAATTAGTTCTTTGTTTATATCGTTATAAATTTTTTTGTCAAATATTATTTATTTATGAAATAATTGGTGGTTAAAATGTGATAGAAGGTTGTGACGTGTTTGCTACTGACAAACATAACTCTGCAACCAAATAAAATAACAAAAAATAGAATAAAAAACCACACTATCTTATTAAATGTTAATATTAGATTATTAAAATAGTTATATAGAAAGTTATTTATTAGACAAATTACTAGCTGCAACCTGTTGCGTTGTAACAGGATAACCAACATGATGAAATTTCTGGTATATATTTAAGAAAATTAGTTATTATATGTTATCATAATATTAATTAAGTAATTTGTATATTCATTTTATCCATTTAGGTACCATTTTATATTTGATGTCTATATTTTTACACGTATTCTGACCTTATTTATGATCTTCGCATTAAATTTATGTAACACCTTATTATTTTTGTCAACTTTTACCCATTTTACACCTTTCTTATCTTTTTTTATTGGTGCGTCTATATAAAAAGAATATATACTTTTCTTGTATAATTAGTTTCTTCTAGCACTCTTAGTCTTTCATTTATCTCTAACATTCTTTTTTATTCACTATCATTAAACATTTTTTCCCCATCCTTTATGATCTATATAATACTACAACTTATATTAGAGAATGGAGACAACAAAAAAAAAAAATTACAATAAAAAATAAACAATAAAAAAAAAAATAATAAGCAAAAAAATCCTTTTTTTATTGGCATTAATTGTCATTACAAAAATTCAACATAAAAAAAATACCGAAAAATATTTTGTTCGGATAGCAAGCGGCCGATCACATTAGTAATACAAACCAAAGCTTATTATTTTCGTTCATTAGATTGACAATGGGCTAACCACAATAAATATGGAATAGATCAAGATCAGGCGCGGACATATCATGTGTTTTCATGTTACACAATTCAAATTATTTATACAGATGACGTGACAATATTTATTAATTATAGATATTAAATAAATATAAAATATATGCGATAATATAATATCAGTTTTTTTATGGAATAATGATATTCTATAGTGGCTCTGTGAAATTCTTTAAATAAATAAATTAAATTAAACTTCTCTTGATTATTAAAAAATAATTTAAAAAATTTCATTTTTTTATCGTTTTCAAAGCTTTTTTATTGATTTCATTTTTCTTATCATCCTTGATCGCTTTTCTCATCTTCCCTTTTTTTATTTTTTTTATATGTGAATAAAGTTCATGCCTATCCCGGCCAGCTGAACTATTATGTTTTTTATAGCAATATCCGATAGTACAGTAATATTTGGGCATGTCGCGTAACTTTTCACGATCAACACTATTCATTTTATTTATTTTAATAATTTCTTTATCTTTTAAATATTCATCAATATTCTGTTCGAAACCATATTTCTTAGCTTCTTTAATTGTAATAATAGCACTTGATGATGCTTTCTTCCATTTATATTCAACATAAGTTTCTCCATCAGTCCCATCAACCTCAAATATACGGATAATGTATTCAAAGTCTTTTTTAGTCGGTCTTTGTTCTTGTCTCATTTTAAAAGTATTTTCAATAAATCTGTAAAATAAAAAATAAAATACTTTAGTATTTGATACATAATGAAAAAAAAAAAAACAATTAAACATAGACTTGATTAATAAAGATCTATACATGACTATACATGAAATCGAGATTAAAATGGTCAAATTGTCAAAATAGCCAAAATTACGACATATCACATGATTTTATAATTACAATATTAATTCGCAATCCATTATAAGAATCGGTACAAATTACTATTATTTTTTATTAGTATAAAATGGAACCCAAAGTGCATAAGGAATTCACGAGATGGAATTTTATCTTTTAATAAACTATCTTCAAATTAAATAATTTAAATTGATCTTAATTTAAAAAAAGAAGATAACACTATATTTATCAACTATAATTGCTAATTTAATATTGGCATTTTATAAATGATGATTAATTAGAAGGAATTTTAGATTTCAAAATTGTAAAAATTATCATCAACAAAACTGTTTATGTTCTAAAGTTAGACGACCAAGTCGTTTCAAATGATTTGATAAAAATGATCTGATAAACGGTCATCAGCATGCTAAAAAGGTATATGTGATAGCATATGATGTATGATTAACAAAACTACATCTGGTTATATAGTAAAATTTATATTTACTATTAAAGATTTTTTTTTCCGTGATTGTCATATTGGGCTATTAAACGATCGATTCTGTAAGAAAATTACTGATGACGTGCAGTATTAATAAATTATCAAATCATGTTATGCCGATCGTCAATTAATTAAAAAATATTGATATCTAGTGATGAGAATTTACTGAATTTTATATTTTTAGATCCGTCTCAATGAGAGGATTCAAATGGTATTTATTCTATAAAAATTGGAATGATATCAACAAGGTTGCCTTTATTTCACAGAATAAAGTAAGTTTCAGTAATATTGACAAGGTTATCACGTTTAATTATTACTCAGTTAATTATTTGAAATCATGTGACATGACGTAATTTTAACCATTACGACTTATTTTAATATTTCAATCTTCCATGTACAATTATTAAATTATAAAAAATAATTATTTTTTTTAAAAAAGAGATAAATGAAATAGAATCAATTCAATTGGCATGTGCTATAATATTTTAAACAATGTTTATGTATCATGTACAATTATTAAAATATTTATTTTTTAAAAATACATTCTGATAAATGAAATAGAATCAATTCAATTGGTATGTACTATGATATTTTAAATAATATCTATTTATCAATTGTATCATGTACTATTATTAAATTATAAAAAATAATTATTTTAAAAATGATCATATTCTGATAATGAAATAAAACAATTGTCATGTACAATATTTTAAAATATGTATCTTTATTATTCTCAATCATTACCTATAAAACTTACATAATTAATTCAAGAGTATTCTCGTTAAATTGTATTCAAATCAAAAAATTTAAACGATATTTCGTAAATTTCTTTTATTACCTTTTTTTTTCCAATAGCTGGTTTTATATTAATTTGAAGTTACTCCGCACTAACCTAATTTAGAAGCACTTCTAAATTATGATGTAATAAGTACGTAATGTCCAAAATTATGACATAATTTGTTACCTCATTACTCGGTGTCGGACCGGTTTCGGCGTTACGATTTACCGAACCCGATCGGTGGATGACGCATTCCAATTGGAATGAAATTATGCACAGTAATCTGCAATTCTGTAATTCAATACACTGACTAGAAACGTCAAACTTGACATTTCTTATTAATTAAAATAATAAAAAATTGCTTTTTTAATAAAAAAATATTAAATGAAAAAAAGATTTTTCAAAATCGGATAATAATGAATCGGGTAAATCGTTTTGGTTTTCGGTAATTACCTATACCGATCAATTTCGGTTTTGACAATCCCGAACTCTATTATTGTATCATTACTGCATATGGCAATCCAGAACCCTATTATTGCATCATTACTGCGTATCACTTACTGTGCCAATTGTTGTACCATTGCTGCGCATACTTGTACTGTGCCATTATTACTATGCATTATAACTGCACATGAAAAAGATTTTCATTAGCATTATTTAATTATTTAATCAAAAAATCTGCGGCAATGTTAATATTTCCAAGAATTGCGAATTCTTTTGAGATATTATTAGGCAGTTATATAATAACTGATTCAATGGTTATAAAAACGTAAAATAATGCAATTATAATATATATTCTATTATCGCTTATAATACTTATAATAAATAGATGCAACAATATTCAAATTATTCTCTAGAATCTCATCTAAAACTTTAAATAACCTTATTATCAGTATTTATAATAGTATCATTATAATAAAGTATTCCTAATAAAAAGCATTCACTTTTTTCTGAATCAAACTTAAAAGTTTTGCATATTTAAATTGTACATTTTACATTCAGCTTAATTTTCTTAATAATCACGTGTAATATTATTAATTGCCAATCCGGCCACTCAACGATACAAAATGATCCGTCGCAAGTTCTTATATGAATGACGTTGATCGGCACATTTCAACTCCGATTTTGTCCTACATAAGTCATGCTTAATGTAACCATACTTTACTAATCAAACGTGAATATGTCACAAAAAAAAATTTTTTTTTCGTTTGTTATAAAATTTAAAGAGTTTACTTTGGAGGAAGTCACCATTCCAGCTCATATTTTAGGTAACTTTACACCAATTATTCGCGAATTTTGCAAATTTTACAAGGTTTTTATGTACTATTATATAATATACGGTATATTCTTGCTTAGATTAACAAAATAATGTTTTAAAAAAAAAGAAAATAAAAAATTTTTTTTTTTGGCAATGTTTTAGTTTACCAGTTTTATAAAACTATACCTAAGTAATGTAACACCTTTTTTAAATGTATTTTTAGGGCATTTATATTACAACAAAACGTTTTCAAACTTGTACAAACACCATTCAGAAGCAATAGTATTTAATATAAAAATGTCCGACGAGATTAATTATAGATTGCCGATCATTTTGTATCGCTGAGTGGCGAATCGGCAATTAACGTTTAAACTTTTTGATTTTAATGCTATCTATATATGATTCTAAGATATTTATTTAATTATTTATAATGAATTAAAATATTATTACAAATTATTGGATGGGGAGTAGCTATATATCGGTCACAGGACCGAATGATTGATCATGCATTAATTAATAAGCTTTCTATAAATTTTATAAATTTCATTTTTAAAGCTTTATTTAAAACTTTTCCTACAAAACATTCATTGCCATTTTTTTACTCCACTTTATTATATCAATCATGTGTTATTGCTATGGCTAATAAAAATATCGGTCTATGAAATCTGCATGATCCTATTTGGCTGAACGACAAAGTATGTTATTGGTATATTAATAATAATAATCAAATTTCTAGGAAATCCTTTATTTTGTGAATATATTATGTTAATGTAACGCCAGTAAGTTGTTGAAAGTTGAGAGTTAGTAATTGTAACTGTTCAAATCACTCATATGAAAAAAATACTCAATGCGAAAAATAATTGAAAAAATTACTCATGATGCAGACTCGTATGACCCATGCCTCTGCTATTGTTTTTATTTAGGTATTCTTTTTTTAGGTCTAGAAATTCCTTATTAATTTTGGATTGAGATATTCATCTTCTTTATTCCCAGCTTTATCTTTCCTCTTACTCTCTTAATATTTCTTGGATGTATAGGTTCATTGTTTGTGTATCTGACATTACCATGTTTTTTATTTTTATTTTCCAAATGACTATATTTTTTGATGTAACGTTTTTGATAAAAAAAAAATGAATAATAAATCCATTTTAACGCTTTTTTTGGATGCTTTTTTTCTAAAGATTGTGCCCAAATGCCCAACTTACTTTGTAATTTTGGCCAGAAGCATCCATCAGTTTAATTAGACCGGCTGCTGAGACGCCAATAGCTATTGGATTTTTCAAAGTACATTATCTATTTATTTTCTAAAATAATTTCTTAATAACTATTGTCTGAAAATCGAAAAAAGACTGAATAATTTAACTAGAATGTTTATTTTATAAAAAACTTTATTAAAATAGAATTAGTTCTTTAATCTTCTTTAATTAATGTATTATTTTTAATTTAGTTGAGATAATATATTAGTCAAATTTATAAAAGGTGGAACTGGAACTGGAGCAAAATTTTTTTTCTATTAGATATGATAAGAAATTAGAAAGATAGAGAAAGATTAATCATTGGCCAATTACATTGAGGAGGTGCTTGAGAATGGCCTTAATTCAATCTTTTTAATATTATTTTAAATGATGAGTAATAAAAAATTTGATTTCATATTCAAATTTTCATCTAAAAAATTATATTTGCTAATTTTTCTAAATCTTGTTTTTCGATCTTATAAATCCTCAAGAATTGTTGTACAATTCATATCGTTACTTTAACTGTAAATCATGATGATAATACTCCTCAGTAGCACAAACTATTTTAAGGGTTATGTTAATTATTTAATTCGGAAATCAGTTAATTCAATATGAACTACGTCATCAAATTAACAAGTAGAGCATGTGATGATGATAAATCAGAAAAATTCAAATGATAGTTGATCATACAATCGTGCTATTAATAAATATCTGCATAAAACTTTAAGCAAATTGTAAATGTACTTTTATCAGCTTAACATTTAATTCTTAAGTTTTTTTTATTACATGCTCACTATTCTATTGGTCCTTCAAAATAGTTCATATAATAGTTTACTAATGATCCGTCGTGCTTATAAATTTTAAAATTTCTTAAAAATTAAATAGAACCTGGTTTTACAAATAAAGCTTATTATATTCTTTTCTAAATTGATATAAAGACTTAGCGCTAGAAATTTCTCAAATAATATCATATTAAAGATATTTAAGTTCCATTTACGTATTTGTTGAATGTTTGTATTTTGGATAAACATCTAGAAAAACATTGAAGCTCCAAAAAAATTTGAACCTGTTGCAAGTACATACAATTTT